GGATCGGGATCCCTCTCTTCTTCAGGGCTTTCCTGCTGGACGTGTTATGGGGTCCTGAAGCTGCTTTGTTGTCCTCATGATGCCTCGGGGCTGGCAACAGAGGTTTCGGCTTTTTGAAGAGGACCTGGGGAAGTAGAGACTGGTCAGGCTGGTGTCTGTGCTGAGCATGTTGGTGGTGATTGTTGGACCATTATTAATAATCTCTGGTGATTATTAGTAGTTGGACCTGTTGGAGTGGATCCAGAGGAGGCCACGGAGATGATGCGAGGGCTGGAGCACCTCTGCTCTGGAGACAGGCTGGGGGAGGTGGGGGTGTTTCGCCCTCCAGGGAGACCTGGAGCAGCTAGAGCAGCGTTCCAGTACCTAAAGGGGGCCTACAAGAAAGCTGGAGAGGGACTTTTTACAAGCGTATATAGTGATAGGACAAGGGGCAATGGCTTTAAACGGAAAGAGGGCAGATTTCGATTAGATATAAAGAAGAAATTTTTTACATTGAGGGTGGTGAGGCACTGGAACAGGTTGCCCAAAGAAGCTGTGGCTGCCCCATCCCTGGAAGGGTTCAAGGCCAGGGTGGGTGGGGCTTTGGGCAACCTGGTGTAGCGGAGGGTGTCCCTGCCCATGGCAGGGGGGTTGGAACTGGATGGTCTGTGAGGTCCCTTCCAGCCCAAACCATTCTGTGATTCTGATATGGAATAAAACTGGCGAAACTACAGATAAACGTACTGTCTTGTGGCAGAGTTAGCCCAGCTTCTACAAAAGGAATTGCTGCCCCTCAGATCTACTGGAGTTCTTTGGAGGAGTCACAAGGACATGCCTGGGGAGCTGGGGTTGAGAGGGACCGCCTGGATTTCCGAAAGGGATGAGATCAGGTTCCTCCCCAGGGCTCTCAAACAGCCGTGGCACAAGTGTGGGTAAGCAGCTGGTTACCAGCTGGGAACAGAGGGCAGGAGTAGGTGGTGGTTCTCACAGCAGCAGGAGATGGCCCCAGGGTTTTATGGGGTCTGTGTTGTTCCTTGTGCCCGTACACAGTGGGGTGACACAGGCTGATGGCGATGCCAGGATCCTGGAGCAGGGAGGGCCAGGCAGGCTGCTGCAGGGGGTGACGGAGCAACGACGTGCCAGGGTGGTTTGATTTGGAGAAACAAGTAAAGCACACACTGGGTGTGTGCTTCTGCCCCCTCCTCACGACACGGGTGTGTGGGCCAAGGCAGCAAGGATGCCCAGAGGTGTCACGCAGCTCCTGTTCCTGGGATGGTGAAGTGAGGGCTCTTCAGCTGCGCCTGGGAAGAACCGATGGGCTGAGAGCGGGGAGAGGTGAGACAGGGACCGCCGAGGTGGTGGCTGGCCCCGAGAGGGCACGCAGGGTCGGATGGAGGTGGCAGGTGCTGCTTGAGGAGCCGGCTCCTCCCTGGATGCCTTGAGAGCCACCGATCTGGTCTCTGCAGGACACTGGGGATGCACAGCTCTGCGTGGGAGACGGAGCAGGATCATGGAAGAGTGGATTACCCAGCGCACGGCAACCGTGGCTGGCTCGGGAAGTTGGGAGTGGAGGGTGGGAGTTTATTCCAGGGCTGTATTGATGGTTTTCCTGTTCTTCCCTGAACGTTGTCTTTGCCTGCTGTTGCTGTCAGCTCTCGCCGTTAGAGTTGGGCTAACAAAATCACGCACCCTTCTCGCCTCTCCCCCCAAACTTGGGGGCAGAGATGTGGGGGACCACGACTGGGCAAAGGGAATGGTTAAGGGTTAAAAGGATAAAGCTGAGAAACGTGAGCGGGACCCTGAGCAGGGCACCCTAGTGCCCGGGGACTGTTCTGGCAGGGCTGGGGGCAGCGTGGTCCTGGGGGATGAACCAGGGTTGCTGCCGCGTTACGTTCCCTGGCTTTTGAAATAGGAATAAACTTATTTAGGAAAAAAACCCAAAACAAACAGTTTTAGTGTC